GGCCAGGCAGCAGCCACAGACCCAGGTGCTTTTCCCACAAGAACAAGAAGAAAAGCAACACCCGCACTCAGCACAGAACCAGCGCGGGGGGGGTGTGTGCAGAGCTGTCGAGGTTTTGTTGCAGAACACCGAGCACCAGTGGCGTAACGCGTGCCCGTCGCAGTGACAGCTCTTGGCTCAGGTGCAGCCGGGAGGTGTCACTACTAATGTGCTCCGTGGGGAGTATTTGCTGCTTTAGCTTTAGGATTTGGAACATCTGTCCCTCCCTCCCAGTCTGCCTGGGAGTCCGTTTGCTTTTTCTACCGCAGCTCCGGGGTTAGCTGAGCGGTGGGTAGCTGCAGGTTATTGCACCAAACCAGGTGATGGTGGCTTGGTGGAAGCCCTGGTTCCTCCAGGCAGACATCTGATGGACCAGAGCCAGACCTGAGGAAGGGCACACCCAGAGGACCTGGGAATAAAGTTTGGGCTCCGAGGTCCCGTTCTGAAAGGGGACAATCCCCTGTCCAGAAGGGATGTGGATGGGTCACAGCGGTCTGGGGAGGACCAGTGGTGGAGGGGGTAGGGGGCCGCCGGCAGCTCCCCAGCAGTCGGAGACAGGGAAGAAAGGCACGGCGATCTCTGCTGTCAAGCGACGGAGAGACAGCTCCCAGCTGAGTACTGCTTGGAAATTTGCGATCTAATTAAAGCAGGCCTTGGATCTCATCACTCTTCCTGCACGCCTGGGACAATGAAACACTGACTGGTGCATCTGTTCTGTATGCGTGTTTGATGCAAATAAGGAAGAAGTCTGTAAATACATCAAAAACCATACTTTATTTTATGTATAGCAATACAATTTACATATTAAATAACACTATAATAGAATGATTTGATATAGTTTTAACATAACAAAAAGAAGATTCTTCAAGTTACAAAAAAACCCCAAACAAAAACCAAACCAAAACGAACAAAAAGTCTCCCTCAAAATACTCCCTCCCACCCTCTCCCCAAACCAAACCCCACGTTGCTTTTTTTTTTTTTTTTTCTGAATGGATCAATGAGACAAACGTATCCAGTGACTGGCTAAGTCTAATTCCTATTGCACACACTGACAATGGAATCCAAAAAAAACCCCCAACTTTCACAATCACTGCCCCAAAGAAATGACATGTGTGGAAATCTTTTTGGGAGTGCGATGATGGTGTCTCACTACCTCGGTACACAGAAGGTATGTATTCACATAGCCACCACAGAACTAGGAAGGAGGTGAAACTAGAAAAAAATTAGCTTTATATGAAAATATAAAATTCTATGATTATATACCATAGATACAAAGTTCCCAGAAGATGCTTATCCAAGCAACAAAATATTTACAGTTTTAATGACTTTGCTATTTTAAAAATGAAGGAAAAGAAAACAGGAGTACACATGAACGCTTCGGTCTTTAGAAACAATGGCTGCTTGCTAGTTTCAAATGTTCTAACAAAACAAAAAGAGTCACTACCCCAAATGTTGGAGAGTTGTGACATTGTATAAAATTGACTATCTCCTCTTTTGGAGACATGTTTATTCTTAAAACTCAAGACATTTTTCTTTGAAATTAATTATCCTCTGTAGAAAATGCTTCCCTTTGCAAATAGTTAACAAAAACACTAAAAACAGTTTAACAGCTAAGACAAAGTAGAGGCCAAATCTCTTCATTACAGTTCCTTCTCTTTCTTTATTTTTGTATTCCTTCTGCTTTGATAAGTAAAGCCAAAGTGGTTCACATTGTTAGAATGGCAACAAAGAGAAAAAGAGCAAAGGGGTAACAGTAAGAGCTAAATTACGTCTGTAAAAAAAAAAAAAGGAAAAAGAAGAAAAGCAATGCAGTGGATTAACAAATAGACATTTTCCCTTCATATAAAAATTCACTGGCACCATTTGAACATAAGCGTCAGAACACAAGATCTGATGTCAAAGGACATGAATTTGAGAAAGACTGCTAAATCTTTAAGACAACTACATTGTAATTTTTTTTTTTTAAATTAAGTTGTTCTTGTTTTGCTGAGAATTAGTAGTATGTATCTTTGGTAGAATCGATATCTACATTTTTTAGCTTTTAAATAAAATATATCAGCTTAAAAAAAGATTATTAAGAAGGCATTTCTGCTGTGTCATAAAGATTCTTCTCCTAATGTTCCAACGTATCACTCTGGGTCCAAGCAATTCAAGCAGTCAGAAACTGGAAAGCCAACTGAAATTTTGCAGATCCCGTAATCATTCCACTAACCTCGAACAGACCCGCAGCACAGAAACAGTCACACACAAGAAGCAGTTTAAGAGTTTGGGATGATTTTTTTTTTACCCCCCCTGCTCCTAAATTCGTATTTGGAAACAGACACTGCGAAACACTAAGGAGAAATGCTGTTTAAAAGGGCTGCTCTTCAGAAAGCTCAGAAGCCTTTTACGTCTTTCACACGGTCTGCGGGCGCAGTAAACGTGCAAGACATGGAGAAATAGGATTTTCTAAATGCAGACACACACCTGCACATGTACTTCGGTCCTTCCCTTCCTTCTTTCTCAGGGCTGGTGCTGAGGACCGCATTTTATAGTGATGGGCTATACTCGGGTTCCTTTAATTTGCAGGCCTGCACACTGTCTGGGAACTCGGGGTGCTTGGCAGACATCCCGACCGAGTGCCAACAAGCGGTTACAGTCGGGGGGTTGGTATGGCAAAAGCAAGGCTGCGATGCACTGAGCGGGACTTTGGCCAGACACTGGTGAGAGCATCTCCAGGGAGCTCTGCGAGTGCCGGTCTCTGAACACACGCCAGCTCCTGCCAGCCTCGCTCAGCCCCAGGGACAGAGGCGCGAAGCCACGGCAGAGAGCAGAACTGCAGCTGCTTACAGCAGGACAGATTTGGCTCTTCCGTGCTCTTAATCCTGATCTTCACAAGCAATTCCTGGCTTCATCCGCTTCCAGCCTAAGGCATCGCTACCACCCACCGGCTATCTGACTGTCAGCACAGCACTGAACACACTGCTTGAGCCCCCTTAAGAAAAAATTCATGGAGAACTCGGAGAACATCAGTGTAAATTATTTCCCCAAGGATTAAACCCCAAGCAAGTATTTCAGGTGTGGGAAAACGCCAACGCAAATGCATGGATTTCCGAAGCATCTACCAAAGTTCAACCCCGACAGCCTTCTTTCATTGAATTTTAAAACTTGTGAGAAGGTAAGAGATTAAACCAGGGATGTTCAGGCAGCGTGTCACGAACCACAGTTATCTTCCATAATGCCACTGAAATGAAAGGTAATCAGCTGAAAGCACTGAACAAATCCAACCCTCTTGATGCCTGCAGTAATCTTTGTGTCACTTAGCTCTTGTCAGGGTTTGAATTCTTAAATTCTCCCTACACCTCCCCAGGAACTTAAATACTTCAGATTGAACCGATTTAACTCATCAGAGTACCTTTGTGCTACCAGCTGGAATTGCCTGGGGCCAGGATCACGACCGGGGGTGCACGCGGGGGCTCCCCAGCCTCTAACACGGACGCACGCCAGCCAGCAGAGCGCTCGGCCAAACCTCCAGCCCTGCAGGCAGCAGCACCTGGGAATTCACCGCACCAGCTCTCCTTGCTGGGCCGCAGCGACTGCAGAGCCAGTCTGAACTCCTACCAGACACGAACTGACTCCCTCCTCAGTGCCGGGCTGTCCCCGTGCAAAGGGGATGCAAACTACAAAGCCATCTTTTGAAACGTTTTGCGCGTTCTTTATTCGGACTAGCCGGTGCTGGCCACGGGATTCCCTTGCTGAAACCACCGATGTGTTACACTGTTCAGTGTTGGCAGTTACTTGGATCACTTGTACGGAGGGATTCAACAAACTGAGGAATAAAAGGTGACTGTGTAAAAGGTTGCCAATGAATTCTTGAATACTTTGGTGTTGAATTAATCAAGTGTATCCATACTAGGAAATCTTTCCCTTATTAAAAACAAAAGGCCCGATGCTAGCACACACCAGTTTGCATGGCTCCTCTGCTCTCAGCGAGGCCGTGTCTGTACCTCGCGAGGTTCTGAACCAAAATACCTACTCTCAACGTAACTTTAAGCAGTTTACTTTCAGCTTCCTTGCGTGTGAAAATGCACAGAACCTTGCCAAACGTCTGTATTTCAGCGTGACTGGACTGGCAGAAATCAATAGGTTTACCTATGAATGAAAAAATATGCTGTGACATTTTGACAAGTCCTGAAAAATTCCAATGCGTGTTTTGCGCAGTTGAAACTCAGTAAAGAAATTAATGCCATCTGTAAGGGACAGTGCCTTTAACTGTATACCAAACATCAGGATGGTTGAAATGTCGTATTTCCTTTTCAGGGTACGTTCAATAACCCCTCCCTACTCAGCCAAGCTATGAAGGACACGATAAGCTTTAATTTTCAGGAGAATTAAGTACGTGCTTACTTCTTTTGTTAAATAGGGATGGACCTTGTTGAGTTGCGACCAAATACAAAGGAAGAGGGAGCCAGTGAGGATGTAAACTTAAATGCTCCAAACAGTAATTCAATTATTTATATAATCTGGGGGAAACCATTTTAGTGGTGTGGGAGGGAAAACACAAGAAGCTAGGTTTGTGCTAAAGAATTAGTATGGCAAAAAAAAGAGGGAGAATATAACTTTATAGGTAGTTTTTTTTATTAGTTTGCTTCACCAGTAAATATGGATCAGTACTTTATGGTTTAGCACTAAAGTATGAAAATTACACACCTGTAAAAATGGCATCTAACAGTTATGAAATTAAGAAACGCCTGTCATCATGTAACATACCATTAGGTGTGAGGTCATATTCAAGAAATAGTAAGGAAATTAATGTATTTAAAATATTGAATAGCTTAGTAATGTAAAATATTGCTACCTTCAATATATCTGAAAACAGGTCTGACTTGGGGCTGTAGTAGATTTCTCACTGTATTGGCTCTGACGAGAATAAAACCAAAATACTTTCCCATCATAGGGCTGGTTAAAACCGAAAATCGACATTTTGCTGAATACATGAGGCAACTTTGAAACTGTAAATGCAAAACTATCACTGCGTCCCACATGTGAATTGCATCTAATTTGTAATTGTATTGTGTGTAATTTATATATTCCATGTGAAGCAAGTCTTAGGCCTGTAAGTGTACAAAACAGCAATTTGAAACAATACAGAAATAATTGTTTCAGCTCCACAAGGCCATTACACCTTCACTGTAGCTAATAATCACCTGCCACATTTTGTCAAGAAAGGATGAACACTGCTCATCCACTCCACTGGAATGCAGAATACCGTTACCAAAACCGTGACATGATCATTAAAATAATAAACATGGTATGAAGGGGTACAGTATCTGTCCTAGAAAGAATCCATCTGGCCTAGCATTCAGGATTTAAGATTTGAGGGTCACTGTAGTTAGCAAAACTTCACTGCATTTAAACAAAACAGAAAAAGCGTATGTTTGTTGTCATGGAATGTCACATCAGGGCTTGTCTTGTATTAGAATATTATAGGCAGTAACACTGATCATATAGTGCAAACTAGATAAAATTGCGTTTCACTGTGTGAAATAAACAGAGGTGCAAATGCTCAGTAGGATACCATTAAGACATAAAATGGCAAAAAATAAATATCAAAACTTTTATCAGTGTAAAAAAGTAATTGGGTTATTGTATAACCTAGAGTCTGGCAAAAAAGGCCTCAAAAAAGTTCACTCAGTCTTCAGAAGTTCTACAAATTAAGTGCCTTTTCAGGTTTCCAATTAGACAAGAGACTCCATGCTTTCCGCGGGATCAGATTCGTCACTGGCCATCACAGCACCATTTTTGTCCAGTGTCATGGGACCGTTTCCATTTTCCTTAGTGCTGACCAAGCTTAGCATTGCCTTATACAGAAACTGGTACTGTTCCTGGAAAAGACAAGACAAGTTATTGCAATCCTTTCAGCGTACATATGCAAGTGGCACTTTCATTTGGCATTTCCAGGGAAGGTGATGGATATCCGTTACTAGAAGCATCTGTATGGCAAAGAAAAAGACCTAGAGAGCAATTACCTCTGTTAATCTAGTTTAACCCTGTCAACCCCAATTCCAGTTCTGGGTAACTATATGATTCCTGATATATTATTAAACACTAAGGAGGGCGGGAGAATACCGGAGCCCACAGCTCAGCCCCAGGTTGATCCCTCGTCCTGGCAGACCACGCACGCTGAGGCGAGGGTGTGGATCTTGCTGCTCACCGAGCCAAGAGCTGCTCTGCTGAAGCCTTATCTCCCCGCAGCTCTCCCTGCCCTGCTGCACCCCTTCAGATCACGGTGTGCCAGTTTACATCGCAGAGCTTAGCTTACAGGGCGGGCAGGGGGTGACGGCAAGCTGAAAGGTCCTTCTCTGGCCCCCTAACTGTATCAGAAATAAGCTTAACCACAAATCAGAGACTTACGGTGTGGGTTTGAGGTTTAGAAAAAATGACAACTATACAAAAAAAGCCCAAATGCAAATTCTGCTTGGTAGCAGCAGATGCAGTGGGGCTTGATAACATACACAATGTGTGTTTTAGTTCCTGCTTTTGGTCTCAGATGAAAACCTTGTAAACTATCCATTTAGATTCCATTTAAAGACTTACAATGTCTGTGAATACTCCAGGCCGCATAAGATTTATCATCTTTGCCACCTGGAAAACATCGACAGCATTTTCATTCTCCAGCTGCTGGGACAGAGTGGTAAGGGCACATAGCGTTCCCGCTGACACAGCTCCATACCTGAAAAACCACACCAAAATCATAAGTTACTCAGAAGCATACCTGGGCAACGACACAGAGACATGAAAATGTTGATACAGTCTTTTTTTGATGACTGTAGTTCATCTTTGTACCTATTAAATGCTTGTTTTACACTGGCTAATTTTCAGCCATTTTAATTGATAGAAGAAATTTGATGGCCCACCAGTCATCTCAGGATATCTGCAGTATTCAACACAAAGAACCGTATCAGCAGCAGAACGTGAGCCATTTAAAAATCCCCAGCCTGGAGACTGTGATACTGAAATCAGTCCTCACCCGCCACGTGTACTGAAAGCATCTGCATTATAGCTAGGCGTATTTTAAATTCATTAGTGGGAGCTCAAGCAAAACATAAACGATTAGAAAGAAATGAGACTTTGCCTCTTCCTCCACATCTGACAATTATATAAAACTAACACGGACACGAGGTGCTCGCAAGTAAATGGGGCACATCTCAGAGTCTTCCTCAGGTCTGATTCATAGGCGGAATGCAACATCCCCGAGCTGGGCACCCAAGAGACATTATGGATTCTGAAGAGTTGAGCTGTGCTGTCATTTAATAAGAACCCGAGCAACGGTTATTCGTCAGGAGCATGACTCCGTGTGGCCTTGAGATAACTGGTCAGGTAGAAATGTTAATGCTGCTAAATCTGTGGGCGCTCTTGGATCATGTGTGCAGTTGCAGGGCATGGGAGAAAGGATCCTAAGCACCACAGGCTTGTAACTGCTTCTGAGGAGCCTCAGCTGTCCTCTGCCCTCCCAGGACTCAGGAGACTGAAGTTCTGTCCTGGCTAGGCTCTGCGACTTTGAGAAAGTCTGCGTCTAAAGGTCCCCGCCGGTAAAAGGGGACATTGGTGCTGACTTGCTCTGTGAACCAGCTGGAGAGCTGTACATGAAAACCTCAATAATCAGCAAGCACTGCAATGCCATCTGGTATCTTAAGATTACCACTATCATTCCTCCAACATTCCTGTGGAAATCAAGACGTGCTGACTTCATTTCGCATGATTTTTGCAAACTCAATTTGCCTAGAAACAGGAAACAGAAATCGGATCACAATAGATCTGCTATATTTGATGAAAAGTCTGTAGAAGAAGCAGAGCTTCTGCAGAACTATACAGATGGGTGGGACTGATCATCTACAGGGACAGCGGACAAAGTGGGCAACGCTTATGCCTGATGGGACACAACTAAATGCCTCTGAGGGTCTAACAGCCTCATTTCTATTTGGGCGGAGAACCTCCAGCTCCCAACAATCTGAAGGCTTTTATCGCGAAAAATTATGCAGCAAATCTTTATCTACTTGCCTGTATATGGGCAGTTATATTTAAAAATCTTGACAACTACCTCAAGTTGGAATTTCTGAACTTCTTTGAAATGTTGTTATCAAGTTCATCCCACCGTGTACTTCCTAAATACCACATGCATTTAGTATCTGCAGATTCATATATTTGGAATTAATCTTCAGTTGTAATTATTAGTGGATTATGTGATATAGTTGTTGCATGTAGTAAAGGGAAATTTTCATTTTCAGCTACATTTACTTAGGCTCCAATGAAAAGCAGAATCCACATTATGTATTAGGCATAAAAGTAAAATCATTGAATATGACAAATAAACCAAAAAAGCAATTTACAGAAGGAATGACTCAGCACTGTTAGGAATGCGATTTTGATTTCCTTTTTTTTTTTCTGGTCTAGCATGAAATGCCCAAATCAATAATGGTTCTAATTTTGTAAAACATAATCTTAAATACTGCAAGAGTAGCAAAACCTCACTTCAGACTACCCAAAGCATGAATATTAAAACTAGCCTGGAATTAATCAGTGCTGGCAAAAGGCAACAGAGCTTACACTGTGCATTAGCAAGGCAGGAGACGGTGGGAGAAAATCTACCTGCTGCAGCCCAAGGCGCCATTCCCAGGAGTCTGTTGGGAAAAACCTGTCGCAGCAGCAGCACACCGGTGTGAAGTGAAAGCTCTCGCAGCAATGGCAGACACCAGCATGCGATCGCACGTCAGCACACCGGTTGATCTGACCACTGAAATACCAGAGTACGGTAACGCTTTTGCACAAAAGGTGAAAATTTTCAAGACTTTCCCACTAATTCTGTTTTGTAGCAATGACAAGAGGTCTAATGGACTCCAGGGTGGGATGTGCAGGTATAGCAGTCGTTCATGCTGGCTTGGTGTTTGCTCTAGGGATAACTTGAGCAGTGTCAGAAATTGGGCTTTCTTGGGATTTTAAGAGCAGAATGACTCCGGGAAGCGCTCTGCCCACCAGGAAACAGTCCGTCTGAACAGATCCTGTTAGACCCACGCACTAATGGTATTTTGCAGCTCCATGGTGTGTGCAAAGTAATAATATGCAATGCAGTATTTAGCACCCTTTATAACTGGGCATTCAAGCATAGCTGACAAGACAATGCTCACCACGGCACTACAAAAGAGACAAACGTTGGGGCATGCCGGCCCTGTGTTAGCAAGCTCCCTCCCTCCCACTTGGCACCATATGGGCCCCTTGGGGTGGTTTTGGGGAAACAGAAGGAGGAAAATTAAATTTGCTCTCAGAAACCTGCGTCCTGTGTCACAGGATACTTCTGCTGCTCATCCTGAGACACAGCTGAGCTGAGCTTGTTCTGTCTTACACAGCACATTAAACCGGAGCTGTTAGACAGGAGCTCAGGGCTGTTTCGCAACTGGTTTCCGTAAGCCAACACTGGGCTGCTTAGAGTCTTACCTAAACCAGGGCTCTCCTGGATTCTGAAACAGGTTGTAGGATTTGTCTGGGATACTTTCAGGTGCCAAAGAACCCAAAATGCTTACAAAACAAACACAGCCTTACATTCTGAGTCCACCTAACATTAAGACCAGCATAAAAACTACACTAAGCAAAAAGTATTTGGTCTCAGATGCCAACTGAAAACTC